CTACTTACAGCAGTGGTCACCAACCTTTTTAAGCCCAAGATCACCGACCTCGGCCTATGTGAAAGGCGAGATCTACCTATTGCAGAATTGGGTGAAAAAGACGGCCCAGACAATGCTTCCAATTTGAGGCCTTTTATATCTGGCTCATCTGAATTACTGTTACAATGAAGGCTCCATAATCAGCTCATGGCATATAGGCAGGGGTAAAGTGCTATTCGGGGGCGGACCTCACCTCCTCTAGGGGGTTCCTCACCTCCTATAGGGGGGTCCGGGGGGATGCTCCCCCGCGAAGATTTTTTTTTAAATATTGAAGTTGAAAGCATCAATCTGGTGCACTTTGAGAGCAACATGAAGAGATCTATGGATACATCTCTCAGCACCCAGATGAAACAGAACTGTAAACAGATTTTCTTTTTCTTTATGGATATTTTACAAATCACATTAAACTGTATTCTTGTTTTACTGACATACTGTATAGTAGGCTATTTCATACCTGTTTTTCATTTATTCTCTTATTGTTTGTATAACTATAATGATCGTATGAAGGTGTGCCGCGGAAATAATCTTTTGAATAATTTGTGACAAAACCGTTCTAAACACTCAGAGAGTCCTTTAGCTCACCTGAGCCCCTCAGTCTGACAGGAGAGGACTCTTGTCCAGCTTGTTGTGGAAACAGCTCCTTATGTCCGTTAGTGCAGCTAGCTAACCAGATGCTAACATCACGGTCCCCGCTAGCACTGGTCCCTCTCTCTCCCTCACTCCCTCGCTCCCTCACTCCCTCTCTCCCTCTCTATCACACTAAATGCGCTATCGCCACACACACACAGAGCCGAGCTTGAATGACACAAGCACACGTGTATTTCCATGCAACTCTCTGATTGGCCTGGTGTCTTGCCTCTGTTGCGTTCACTGAACACGGGAAATTACAGTCCTGCCGTTCTCTCTTGTGTCATGATGAGGTTCACGTAAAACACGGTTAATGTATTATATTATTGAGGTGTCTCAAATATACGTCAATCAAGTGGCACCTGCTAACGGGGTGGTGGATGATATGTTTACATCTAAAAACATATTTTTCAAACATTATTATTTTAATTTTCTTTTTCTTTCTTTTGTTACTTTTTGTTTTTAACGGTCCGCGATCTACCCCCACCACACTCGTGATCGACCGGTCGATCGCGATCGACTGATTGGCGACCACTGACTTACAGTATAATAGTATATATATTTTATAATAATCTGTTTGTTCCTGCCTCTCCTCCTCCCTGCCTCCAGGGGGAGCCATCAAGAAGCCCCTGAGGGACCTGGTGGTGGCCGACTCGCAGACGGCGGTGCTGGAGTGCGAGGTGGCGAGCCCCACGGCGGAGGGGAAGTGGCTGAAGGACGGGAACAACGTGGACTTTAATGAGAACACGAGAAGCGAGGCGAAGGGCGCCGTCAGACGCCTCGTCATCGCTATCACCAAGGCAACCGACGTGGGCGAGTACACCTATCAGGTGGCCACGTCCAAAACCACCGCCACCCTGCGGGTCGAGGGTATGTCTCTACGCCTATTCACTCTGGATTCATATTTTTAACATTCGTTTTAGTTGTGAATCTTTAGCAGATGATGCTCCTCCGTGTGCTAATGGGTAATAAGCGGATAACAAATCATTTGTGATAACTGTTTCCTGCTAACGAATACTAAGTGCTTATTTAATAATGATATATAATATAACCCTAACGAGTGCCTTGGTGTGTTTGCTGCAGCGGTGAAGATCAAGAAGACGCTGAAGAACCTGAACGTGGTGCAGACGCAGGACGCCTCGTTCAGCCTGGAGCTGACCCATGAGGACGTGAGGGGCGCGGCCTGGATCAAGAACGGCGTGGAGATCCTGCCCAGCGACAAGTACGAGATCAGCATCGAGGGCGCGGTGCACACGCTGACGATCAGGAACTGCAGCACCAGCGACGAGTCCGTGTACTCCTTCAAACTCGGGAAGCTGTCGGCCAACGCCCGGCTCAACGTGGAGGGTACGACGACGGTTCATTTACATCTTTTTATGTTTGATAAGAATATGTATATGTAATTAATAAAGTATTTAATTGTATTAAATTAAATGTATTTTTGGACATTTACTTAAACTTATGTTTTTACAAAGATTTTTTTGTATTGTTTATTATTAATTCATTTAGCATATTTTAGTAACCGGTTTCCGTAAAAAATGTTTTTCTATTTCCTTTATTTAATTTCATCTTTTCATTGCAGATTTGAATTAAATTCCTATGCTCATTAAAAATGTGTATTTCATCTTTTTAGGTCACATTTTTTGTTCGACTCATTTATTATTTTATATTCTAAAATAGAGCAATGGGCATAAACCCAGTTTCGCCCGAGATGAATTAAGAACTCTGTTCCCCACAGGCATTAAGATCCTGAAGAAGCCGAAGGACGTGACCTCCCTGCTGGGCGCGACCGCCGTGTTCGAGCTCGGTCTCTCCGAGGACGACATCCCCGTGAAGTGGATGTTCAACGGCGTGGAGCTGCAGGCCAGCGACAGCTACAGGATGCTGTCGGAGAAGAAGACGCACAAGCTGATGGTGCAGGACGTAGACAACAGCAAGCAGGGGGAGTACAGCGCCGTTGCGGGGCACCTGCACTGCAGCGCACGCCTCATGGTCGAGTGTGAGTAGCACGTTAGCCTAGCACGTTAGCCTAGCACCATAGCACTCTTTTTAGTTCAGGGTCCACATACAGCCCAATTTGATCTGAAGTGGGCCGGACCAGTAAAATCACAGCATAATAACCTGTAAATAACCCCTTAACTTTAGTGGAAGAAATTACATTCTGACCATTTTAACATTCATGAACTTCCTTTTATAAAACATTAGAAACAAAATGACATTTCTTAAGAAGCATAAATGCAATTTCAACCATATCATGCCTCAGTTTATCATGAATGTCTTCTCTGTCATTTGAACACTTTGCAAAGTCATCCTGAGGATCGGACCCTCTGGCGGTCCAGTCTTGGTCTATGTTTGACCCCCCTGATATGAAGCATCCTGGATGTTTGCTGACCCGTGTTTCCCCCCTGCAGCCCTGAGAGTCACCAAGCCTCTGAAGAGCGTCTCGGTGCCGGAGACGCACACGGCGTCCTTCGAGTGTGAGGTCTCTCACTTCAACGTACCGTCCACCTGGCTGAAGGACGGCGTGGACATCGAGATGAGCGACAAGTTCAGGATCGTGGTCCAGGGGAAACTCCACCAGCTGAAGATCACCAACACGAGCCGAGAAGACGCCGCCGAGTAC